GCTGCAAGGCATCTGTCTTACACAGTGCTTGAAGAAAACAAAGTGCTCCATACAGCCTGAGAATGAAGACATTCAATGCATCCTTGGCCTACCAGAGCCAAGAGAGGTCCTGCAAAAATTCAGAGTAGCAGTTGGGAAAAAGGAAGGTCTCTGAAAACAGAAGGAAAATGTCAAACTCTCCCCAGAGCAGCTAAGAGCCTACAGACAGGTATTTAAAACAGCTGCTAAATGATGTTTGATAAGGTGGCGCAGGAGACTGCCAGGGGCTGCACCACCTTGCCAGAACATGCGACTGTTTCTTTTACCTGTTTCACTTCAAGGCGTACAGCCTCCAGGCTGTGGGAGAATCCTTCCTGCAGGATGTTTAGCTTGGATTTAGCGAGGTGCAGCGGGGTTCTGCCAGCTCGATCTAAGGCATCAACTCTGGCCCCTGCAAGATGCGTGAACAAGGACAGAAAGTGAGGTCTGTCTCCAAGGTTTAGTGTCCCTGGGGAGTATCAGCCGGGGCAGGGCAGGAGAGGGACAGGCTGTAATTGTTACAGAGGAATTGTTACCTCCGCGCAGCAGCGTGGTGATGACAGGAACGTGGTTCGTGCAGGCAGCTGGGGAGGGAAAACATAGGACACACAACTCAGAGGTACTAGCAAACAACAAATGAGTTTCTGCTCAAGCGTGGAGCTCGACGCTTGCCAAATGGCGCTCTGCCATGAGAAAGAGGAACCGCCCAACTGTTCAGGGTAACCTCACACTCAAGCTTAGGTGTTCTCTCCGGAACAGCTGTCATGCTCCTTGGGGCCGGCAGAGGGAGGGAAATGGATTTTCTCTACCCCTGACCATTAAACTTTCATGAAGAGTGAAGCTAATGAAATGCAAAGAGTCCCTCACAGCTCCTTAAAGCTGGGGATGCATACTGTGATGCACAGGAAAGAGGAAGGTAGAGAGGAAAGAAACAGCAAGGCGGTGTTCACCTCGGCTCTCTGCATGCAGAGCTCACCTGTGTGGCACTTACCCAAGTGTAAGGGGGTGTTTCCCAGCCCATCTCTCTGGTTCGGGTCAGCCCCATGGTCCAGAAGCAGCTGCACTGGAAACAAGGAAACAGAGCCACGTCAGTCCCTTCCCTTTGCCCCACAGGTCAGGCCCACGCGGCAGCCATCAGGCTGCCTTCGGGATGCTTCTGTTCAGCTCTTCAGTCTCCTCCCAGAAACAGGGGACAGAGGTTTGCGCAGCAATGCAGAAGGACCCAGCACAAAGGCAGGCAGCGCCGCTGCCCCTGGGCTCCCTGAGGGGAAGAACTGGGACTACGGACACCCTTTCTTCTGCACCAGTACAGCCCCAGAGCTGGGAGCTCCTGCTCCCCCTCCAGTAAGGGGACACGGCACGCTCTGGAGCCGGAGTTCAGCTGGCAACTTTGCCATAAAACACACAGAAAACAGCAATCTCTGTCACGTGCTGAACCAAAGAGCACTTCTGCCACAGAGAAGTCAGATGACAGAATTTCCACTCCCCACTCACCGATGTGATCGTTGCCGTTGCAGGAGGCGAAGTGCAGGGCTGTCCGGCCTTTGTCGTCCGCGGCACAGGGGTCAGTCCCATCCTCCAAGAGTTGCTGCACTGACAGCGCCAAGGAGGAGAAGAAAGCAGGTAAGCTGAAGGGGCTTCAGAATCAGAATACACGCTCTGCCAGCTACCAAGTCAACTGGACTTCAACCAGCTCCAGCCAGCATCCCAGCTCAGCAGAGCCAGTCGAGGCAGCGCACCGTCCACCCTCTGCTACTGCCTTCACCACCTTCCACGTACTGCCATAAAAGATAAGCCAACAGCTGTAATGGCTAAGGATCCATCTAGCCAAATTTTCAAGCTCCAAGGACAGCCAGCAGCAAATAGGCATTTGTACAGAAGAGTACAAAAAGGTAGCAAGCATGCTGGGCTACCTCTCACAGCCTTCAGTCAGCTGCATCTCAGGCACTTCCCAAGCCAGAATTAGCATCCTATGCTCACTATCCCTCCATGGATTTGCACAGTCATCTTCTGCATCTGTGTAAACTTTTCACATCAACATGGACCTGCAGTGTGAAGTTTCACAGTATAACTCCATGCAGTGAGAGAAAACACCTCTTCACACCAGTTTTGAATATGCCCCTTCCTAGATTAATCTGAAACTCCTAATTTTTGCCATCCTATTGGCGGCTACTGTTTGAGAAGCCAGCAGGTGAGTGCGCCAACCTGCCAACAGCAGTGCAAATGTACCCTTAGGAGACGATGTGTTGAAGCCAGCTAGTGAACAGCCCGAGTAGCCACACCGTCATCTACCCACACTTGTTTCCCCTGCTTTTCCACCCAGGTACTTCTTCGATGCCACCACTGGCACTTCTTGTAACCTGAACTACCTCCTTTTCTCAGATAGGAAGGGAAAACTTGCTCACACAGAAAGGCAGAGAAACTAGTATGACTCTCCAGCATTGGGTATAACAAAGGCAAAGAGGCCAGCAAAGGCTGGAAAGATTAGGGACATAAAAGTAGCATCTACAGCAACATGTGTCAGGGCAACTGTAAGGGCTATTACTCCTGTTGGTTTGATATTATCCTGATATAGCAATCAGTGTGTAAAATAAAGCTCATTCCATAGCTGTTAAAAATACTGACAGATTTGCTATATTTTGAGTTCTTTAATAACGTATCCTGCAACAGTCAGGACTGACCAGTATTGGATACAAGAAACTAGACAGCTCAGACCACTGAAAGTCACCATTCATCTCAGCTTCCAGAGATCGAATTACAGTCACATTTTAATGTCTTCCTGTACGCCTATTGCTTTAAGTGCGGTCCAGAGGTGAAAGGAACGCCTGAAAAGATGGAAGCAGCATTAACGGGGGATGTTTGATACTCCAGAAGAAAGACAGGGAGACTGACAGTGCCACCAGTGAGAACCATTCATGGGGAGCACTTTACCTAGCCCTTCCCTGAAGCCAGTAGGAAGTGACATAACCTCTCCCGCCCAGTGCCACCACAGGAAACAGCAAAGATTTTTACTTGTTGATGAAGAACAAATTCATCATCAGACACCTCCTCAAGCGGCAGAGTACACAAAACACAGCAGGATTGTAAACAGGGGGACCTGTGTATCAGATACAGGTGTAAAACTCTAAGATGGACTAAAACCAAGACGTTCACAAAGCCCGATTCCTTCATTCTTCCTCTTGACTTGGTGACTGAAGCCAAGCCTTTCTGTACTGACAGAGGTCACAGATGAACTTTGTCCACCAGTTCATGAAACAAGGCGTACTGGGGAGCCGAAGGGTGAAGTATGCCAGATAAACCCCCGTCCTGGCATACTGGGAGCTTCTACAAGTCAAATCAGTTTCCAATTCTGTTCACAGAATTAGGCCAGCACAGCTGAGGAGACAGTACAGTCTAAGGAGGGACAATGATAAGGGGCAGATAATATACATCAATATCGCTGCTGGACAGTTCATATCGAACCCCACCTAATCTATAGAACAGAGATGTAAAGGGAGTCACAGACAGGCCACGAGCCTTCTCTGAAGTCACTGTGAGAGGCAGAGCCCAGCACTGGTCATGGTTCTGATCTACTGGGTCACACCGTCTGATCACACAGGGTACGGCTTAGATAATCACAGCTTTTCCACCTCACCAAAACACCACTCACTTGCTGCTTACAATTGGGCAAAAGTTACAGACCAAAAAAACCTGGAACAGTGCAGCGCTGCTTTAGCTTGAGAAAACTAACGCTACGAACCAGATGGAGTGAAAAACTGAAGACTGTAACTCTTTCTCACTCTGCTCAGAGAGCAAAACAAGGCTCCAGAAAAGCAGTTTCTAGATTTGCAGCATCTAACGCACCGTGTCTGCGCCCTCCTCCTCCTCCTCTCCTAAAACACAGGCACTCGACGCAACCGCCCTCCCAGGCAGGGATCCCAGGCAGCGCTGGCAGAAGTCTTACCCGTGTCCAGGTCGTTGCCATTCGCAGCTTCACGCAGCCTTTTCAGAGCTGTGGAGAAGAGAACGCAGTGACTGGAGAGCACGGAGGGAAAAGCAGCGTTTCCCCACCGAAACATCCCCCCGGGGGGCTCCAGCCCAGGCGCAGGGCTCAGCCCGGAGAGGGGGAAACAGCAGACCGAGCAGCCAGCTACGAAGCGCTCTCCTTGTTCCGCGTCCCCCCCTCCCCGCGCCGGCCGCCAGCACTCCCGCTCCCTGCCG